ATATATATACTGTACAGTAGTGCCACGACACAAAATAAAAGAAGTCAGACTACTGGACAATAAAACACCAACAGCTTCTTTTTTTCCTTTTGACTTTTTTCACCATGGCTGAGGTCAGGTGCTGACATCCACCTGCAGTCACACAACCCTAACCCACAGAGCCAGGGACACACACACACACACACACACACACACACACACACACACACACCTGAGCAGAACCTAATAAACATGAAGCAGATACAGTGAGACTCAGTGGGGATGGTGAACTGACTGTAAGGTTAGAATAGTTTTGGATTTTTCATTATAGTTTAGTTTTATTTTGTTGTGATTTTTTTTCTTTTAATTTAGTTAGTTTTGATTAGTTTATTACAGTTGATTTGATAGTTTTTATTAGTTATTATTGCTTTTTTAATGCTTAGTTTTAGTTTAATTATTCTTAGTTCTAGTATTAGTTTGAATAAACATATTTATCAATCCATCCTGCAGCTGGTGATGTTCCTGTGAGTTCACTAACCAGCAGATATCTGGTCACTAGTTAAATCAGTCCATCATAGCAACACCTTCCTAAAATAACTGTGTAACTTAATTTTACCAAGTAAAAACTTGGTGATTATTTCAGGACGATGACATTATTTGTCTCCATCCTGTTTGTTTTCCATGGAGCTGCTGAGAGAAGCTAGCGTGTCAGATAGTCACAGTTTGATAGGATTGATAGGACTGAAATACAGTCGGACAACAAAAAAGGTTTAAAATGTTTAATAAGCACAGCTTTAGAAAAGGTCAGGTTTTGGTTCTGGGCAGGATCTGGACCCAACAAATCCAGACAGAGGAGGACAGGGTTAGTTGAAGCACTAACTTTGTGATTAGTGGAAATGTAGATAAATCCCACCAACCTGTTCGCCTTTGAATTGGTCCGACCAGAAACTCCAGTTACTTGATGTTGGTTCYKGAGGGAARTGACGTCWCCGTTTGTTTTGTTGGTTTGATAAACTCTGTGGTTCTGAGACTGGGTCGTGAGACGGAACAAGGTCAAACACAGAAGGTCGTTATTATTCACCAGGCCGATGGGGTTGGACCATATCCAGTAATCCAGAAGACAGGCAGGGGTCGAGAGCCAGGAGATCTGATGACTGACGGCACCGATAAGGGCTGTGACCAGAGACGTTAGTCTGAGGAGAATGGTGAGGGTCGTAACCATGGAGGCAGAGGCAGGAAACATCTGTCAGGAGCAGAGGCAGGAGTCAGAGAACCAGAGGACAGGAGCAAGKCATGAGGAAGGAACACTGGGAGATCATAGACAGAGCCAGTGGTAATCTGGCACTGGGCACAGGTTAGTGGCTGACTTACTGGGACGAACTGGTGAACTGAATGAGCTGATGATAAGAGTCTGTGATGGGGAGTGCAGACAACATCAGCAGACAGGGACTAATGAACAAAATGGTGAAATCATAACACAGTTAGCATCTTGTGTGACTTTGATTCATGCAGTTTTTTTTCTTCAGAAGTATTCACCTGTTTTATCACCTGTTTTATCACCTGTTTTATCACCTGTTTTATCACCTGTTTTATCACCTGTTTTATCACCTGTTTTATCACCTGTTTTATCACCTGTTTCCACAACAACACACTGGATTGGATGTTTCTCTCAGTCAGATTCAAAGAAACTCTAAAGTGCACAGTGTGCTTTTTCACAACTTTGGTTGTCGTCATTTAGCAGCAGACTTTAAACAAGTGTAACAAGTGTTACTACTCAGTTTTGGAATAAAAAAAGATCCACATGGCTGAAAATAACCTGACAAACACTAAAACTAAAGATATTCTATTTAGAATTTCAGTTAGTTTTAGTTAGTTATCATTCTCTCATTTTATCACAGATTTTATTTATTTTAGTTAACTAAAATGGATTTTCAGTTTCAGTTTT